TGTGTTTGTATGTCGCAAAAAAGTCTCTCTTGCTTGAATCGTTTTGAAAATTAACCAGAAAGTGAGTTATATGTTAATTCTCCCCGTTTTCTAACAGTTGAAATAGGCCAATGCAACGCATTTTGAATTTCGGAGTTATGGCGGAACATCAAAACTTGCAATCCTCGATCGATCGAACAACGCCCCCTTCATTAAGATTAAGTCGAATCAGTTCAATATGTAAGGGTAAGTGATTCCACTAATTAAGGAACAAAAACGGAAATAAACCCATAATTCTTCAAAGTAGTCTCTCTTAAGCTCTATTAAATCGCGCTGGCTGCGCCTTTAATTCCGATGTGGTGATTTGATCAAGCTAATTGCTAGCCTTCTTCAAACTCTTTCAAGACCCTTTCAAGGAACTCAAAAACAGAGTTGCCTTTGAAATCCTTCTTTAATTTATACAAAATGTACAATGTCACAATTATTTACCTTACCGTTCGAATAAAATAAGCGGACAGATAACGATTCGCCGAATCTCCCTTCGTCCGCCATCTTCAAACTACTGCTTTGTTTTGAAACGTGACACTCGAATCGCAGCGCGAATTCTCATTGGTTCAAATGCGAGTCACGGCTGTCCTAATATATCGGGATATTTCGGACTGAGTATAGTTCCTTATTGTAGGTGGAAGAGGATCTCCATAAGAATCTGATATGAAAAAATATATATTAGCACACAGACTTGATAGCCATAAGATCACTAAGTAAATAAATTGATAAACTACAGTTAATGCATTGAAAAATTCAGGAAAAATTCACAATTGGCTGTCGACGTTAGTAAATTGATGTACATTACACACTGTCTATACATTGTACACAACGTGAAATACGCATATTGATCTTTGACTAATTACACTAAATGTCCCAGGGAATTAGTAACTGCATGACAAGATGTGTTGAAAATTACTTTAGGGGTAAGATATTGTAGTGTTGACTGGAGGAAGGAAACAGCTTTTGGTTCAAGTTATTAAATGGTTTTTAAAAAATCATGGGTTTGACAAAATTAATTGGCATTCCACTATTCTGAACTATTACCTGAGTCAATGCATTTTCTTGCCTTCTTTTTCTGGCTTTCTTTGGGCTTTTGTTTCCCTGTAATCTCATCATCTTTGCTGCTTGATAAACCCTACCCCAGTAAAATAGCATTTTTTTTTCCTGTTGATACATGTAGTTTAAATTGCACTCACATTATTTATACAGCATGTAATTCTTCTTTGGACTGAGGGAACACCGAGGACAACATCGATTAAAACTGAATTTTCATATTGCAGGTCGACACATCTTGCAATACTCTTAAGTTAATTAGTTTGTTTCTTGCTGTCAAAACTATCTTGAAACTGAAGATGGAATACAGTGTTAAATTCCAAATAGACATTTAAAAAAAATAGCCGTTGTGGCTCACCTCCTCCAGAAAACATAAATTTTTGGCGCTTTCCCGTTGTTGTTTTGTAAAAGATGGCAAAGAAATGTACCAAGAATTATATTGCGGGTGCACAGCCATTGTGTTGCTCTTTAAACCGTTTGTTCAGTGGCATTCAAGTGTCCTTTGTGGTTTTTTTAAAGTCCCTCGGATCCGTACCATGTATCTCGTAGGGTCAAAAGAAATATTCCAGAGAGAGCAGTAAGTAGCAGTAAGTAAGTAAACAGTTATTTCTTGGGCAGGTAAAGGAGATCAAACCAACAACCCTTCCCAGACCATTAGTGGGGGGTGCACATATTTCGAGAAAAAATATCGTAGTAGAAATAGACAAGAGCAGGGCTGGAGAGGACGGGGGGATGTTGGGTGTGAAAGTCTTTGAAGTAGGGAGAGGAGTAAGGACTCTATAATTGATCTTAGGGGATTGTTGTTGTTTTGTTGTTCTTGTTTGTTTGTTTTCTTTCTTTCTTCCCAAATTCTTTTATATGGGCATCT